GAGCAGATAATTCGATGAAGTAATTCGGAATAATTGGGCGGCGACGGTGCGCGCGCCAAGTCTCCCTCCGGCCGCCCTGCCCCTCCGCGCCGTTTTCGCGACAAATGCAATAATAAGAAAGCTGTGTTCGCCGGAGGAGCGGAGTCCCGGGCCGGCTGGCAATTAGCAGGCTCGAATCAACCGAGTCACCGGAGGCGTCGTTAGATTAAGGAATTTCATTTGCCGCCGCGCCGGCTGCTCGGACTGCCGTGAATGGAACAACAAGTCGCCGCGGACCGACTAGCGTCTCGCTGGCTCCGCGGGCTTCTGATACGGAGCCGTGTTACTGTCGGGCGAATTTCGCGGGGACGTTCGGACGCGGTCCTTGTATATGGAAATTTCGATATCGATCGAAGGAAAATTTCGGTGGGAGGTAATGGGGATTGCGGTGGATGGTTTCGCATGTTGCGGGAATGAAATTTCTTTGGTGGACGCAATAGCTGTGATAATAATAACATTGGTGGTATTGTTGATGGTAATGACGATGATAATTATAACCATATTCCAGGGTATTTGTAACACTAATTAGTTAAATTAATGTGGTTTGTAATAATAGAACATACTGAAGGGAATATATTGTTCAGTATAATATACTGTTCAATAATATATTGAAGTTATCCAAATATAATTAAAAGAACAGAGGAGAATAATAGATTGAGTTCAAATGTAATAGAAAAGTAATGAAGACAATAATGAAGGTAATAGAAGAAATGGTTGAAGAGTGGGACTATATGTATACAGCGAATCTACGGTGATAAAACAAAGTAGAATAACAATAGATTCTGTATTGCAAGGTTTTAGTTTAACTATAGCGAGCGGAATTTTCGTATTTCTTTTAGCTAGAATATTTTCTCTTGCGAAACAAATCGTTTCCATTCTAGTCTTCGTAAGCGTACTCGGGACGATTAATATTTGCATAAAGATCCGGCAATTACTGCGACGTGAACTGCGGAGATGAGTAGTTCCCAGGAAGGATCGAAAACTCCATTATCCGAAAGACGCTGTTCATATCTGGAGCGCTCGAATGAGCGCGTAGAATCAATTCAAAGTAAACTTGGTCCGCGGCGGGACATCGCCGAAGAATATTGTCAGCTTGTTAGGGAACCCAGAGGCACTTACAGCGACCAAAGGTAGGGGACACCTGTAGTTTGAACTTCCTCATAAGACAAACTCCGCGTTTACCGAGTCAATACTCGTGGTACCCTGCAGTCAAGTTTCGTCGGGTACAATTTGACTCTTCGCCGGCTCCTCGGGCCAGTCGGCTTTTCCTAAAAGGACCGTGCTGCCTCTCGAGTGCCGCACATAGTACCGCGAATCCAACAATCTCGTACACGTGACAACGAATTAATAAAGAGGACACGTGAAAAATAGAAACCTCTCGCAGACAGTTTCTTGAAATAATAAACAGTTTTTCGTATATTACTTATCGTATCGTAACAAAGGTAAATGGTATTGGAAGCTATTAACGACTTGTTATAGTTCTTAAGTTATAACGTTATTTAGTTACTCATGTTACCAGACATTTGAATTGTCAGTTTTGTTCTCGTAACTATTTTCTAGTAATTCCGGTGCCAGTCATCGGTGGCCAACGTGTTAAATCATTTCTTTACAACCTTCTATTCATTTATAGATACAGAGGCTTAATATCACTAAAATGCCAACACTCATCCCGAAAGTTAAAAAATCTTTTAGTATTCGCTATCAAACTCACCTAAATTTCATGTCACCAAAACGCCCAATCCTCCGATCTCTACTGAGAAAATACTCATAAAATTTCTGCCGACTCTATACAAAACCGACGCGATAATCAAAGTAAAAATCGATTCAAGTAAATAAAGTGCCGAAGTATATACATCTCCGCCTCTCTGGCCATAAGAATATTTTCATCCGGAGCATTCCTCAGGCAAATGGATATGAGAAGCCGTAATCAGGGTTCGGCACGAAATCGACGAGAGACAGAACAATCCTTTCAGCGCGCGAGCAAGATTCCCCCTCCGTCGCCGTTCGTTTCAGGCCGGATCAAGGAACCGCAGGAACGTCACGGGATACCCCGCAGAAGGAACCAAATTGAATTAGATCGGCGGAGCCGGGTGGTGATCGAAAGGCGAATCGAAAATTCGCGGGCGAGCCCATAGGAAATCGGTTGCCGTGAAACGAAATAAGAAACTCCGCGCATTTTTCAACCCTCGGTTCCGCCGTATTCTTTGTCCGCCGGCACGAATGAAAGGGAGCAAAGACGCGTGACCGCAATTACCAGATTAAAGTCGCAGACACTTTATCCGCGTTCTCCGTTCCATTCTCCTGCCCCTTTTTTCCCTTTGTTCTTCGACTCGGATTTTCCTTGCTCCCTCCCTTCGAAGCATCGGATGCAAATATCAGGTCGTGTCCGCGGAAGAAAGGACCCCTTAGCTCGCGAACGTGGGAACAAAAACCGTCTAGAAACGATTTTTCAGCTCCGAATACCCTTTTTTCCCCAATCTCATCCCCGTTTCCGCGCTCCTGATAATTGGGGTTCGTTAAGGAACGCCGGTGGGAAATATGGACGAGGTGTAATTAGCAGATTGAAGTCAACAAAGTTCGCCCGTGAAGATCAAGGATGAAAGGATCGAGGAGGGGTTGGCGTGGGTTAAATTATTTTTTGATAGGGGATGTTACTTTTTGAGGAATTAAGGGCGCAGCGATGTATCGACTCGAGCGGAGGCACAATGGTTAATTTCGAGATTGGCGCGGCGGGAATGTCGAGGGAAATGAAAACGCCGGAGATGCGTTTTGCGAGTAATAAATATGTCGAGGAATGGCATGTTAATGTTGAGTGGAATGAAAGGCTTGTTTCCTGAGATTTATTCTTCATTTCGAGGTTTATTCTTCATTGCCCTTCGCTGTAGTATGAAATGATTTTTTCGTGAATAAAGCGTAAATGTTCATGGATTTTTGTTTATATAGAACTTTAATGTACATTACATTAATTTATAGTAATTCCGAATGTGACGTTGTTTCTATGAAATCATAATTCGAGAGAAGAAATTTTAATTTTCACCAATATCTGCAATTTATTTATGAAAAATTAGGTTTCCAAATTTTTCAACGGCGTATTAATGTTCAAGGTACCGATCAGAAGAACCCGTTCCAAAGTAATTTCCAATATTCCATTGTGCGAACGGCTGAGTAGCCTGAAAATTATTCAGAATTGCTGCTAAGTAATCCGATTCGCTCCTAAATAAATATTTCATAGCGTTCCGAGCCTACGCGCCCGATTCATCGAATCTTAACAAAAATATCCCGAACCCTTACAAGCAGAAACTACACCGCATACATCTCGCGCGGTAAGAAACCAGGAATGATGGGCCAAGTTCGGTGCAAACTATTACCATAAAATCCAACTCCGGGCAAACATGGAATTCTCCGCGATCCTGCCCGTCATCCTCACCGGGGATGAGTCATCCCTCTAAAAGTTAGAAGGAAATCGCGTCGGGGATGGTTCCGAAGAAGTTTTATTTACCTTCGATCACCGAGCTTCGATATCGCGACAATAAGGCCGTCCCGGATAGTTGTTTGGTGACACGTCTAAACTTATGATCCGGAGTCTCTGAGCGTTTAATCCCCCCTCTATAGAAACCTCGTCTAAATATCAACACTACGAATAAATCTATACGGAACACTGATTCTTCAGCAAATACGAATTAGAATATCCAGAAACTATCAACGAATCAATACTAAAATTCCGCTTTATATTCTTTAAAACTCGAACGTCTCAACAGAAACCCTTCCTCGATTTAGTTTCCAACAACCATGGGCAGCTCTAGCAGTCAACAATTCCGTACAACAGAATTCAAGTGACGTTAGAAGCGAAAATCGTCAAAGGACCATTGAAAACAATTCAAACTTCCCACGCGCGAAAATGCGTATTCCGTTCAAAGTGTCCTCGTGGCACTTAGCGGTGCCGCCTTTTTCCTGACTCGATCGTTTAGAAGGCTGCTCCGGGCAGGTTCGAGGAAACTCGTGGGAAATCGCTTTGAAATTCCAGGAGATCGCGGAACTCGTTAAAGTAGAGAGACTCGATAAAGCTGATCGGCGCGCGACTGTCCCGACCGCGCCGCAGAGCGACGGTATCCTTGTCGGAGGCATTACGCGGAAAAGTTGAGGCAAAAATTGGGGGATTGCGGGGATTGCGCGGTCCGGAAGTGGCCTCGGTTAAGTGGCACTCGGAACGGGACTCGAATATTCCTAGATTCGTCCCGGGAATCGGAAGTTTCGGGCCGTGGGGAGCGGAGGTTGGAATAGAGGCTGGTGACCGAAGGGGACAGGAAGCCGGCGGCAACATGGCACGAAACCAACATGTCCGGCGGGGAAGCTAGCAGGGACTATTGGTACTAGCCTCGTAATCCGAACAGGCTCCCCGCGGGCCGGACAAAAGTCACCGTAACGACGCAATTCCTGGCGCGGAGAACCGCGTTAAACGACACCCATTCTACGAGATCGCAGATGATCCACCCTTCCTGCATCAGCAGATCCTCAAACTCGGACTAAAAGACCGAAGCCCGTAGAACTTAGGGAATCAAGGATTCGCCCGTTCCTCTGGGGGCAGTTAGGTGCCTACCTTGTTTGAGGGTAGCTAAGTCACCTAGCAGGTCTCCTTTGCATTCAACCCTTCCCGAAGAATTCTGAACTTGGTCAACGTAGTGCTTCTATTTTAGACCGATTGGTCACACTTGGTTCTCCCCGAGGGAGCTATTTTTCTAACGACTTCTGTGAAACAGTAGCTAAATCACCTGATCCACCTAGATCTCCTTTGCATTCAAACCTTTCCCAAGCTGTCTCAACCTGGTGACACGGTGTTGCTATCGATCAGTCGTTCAAATCACCCTTGGTTCCCCGTGGGAGGAACAATGTCCCTAGCTCCTCGATCTCAGGCACGTCGGTGCCTCTTCGTAGACATCACCGGTCACCGATCGGAAACTTACCCCCCACTATCAGCAGCAGGTGGAACAGAGCACGTCGCACTTTCCCGCACTTCCGTCGAACGTCTTTATCCATCCTGACTGGCCTCGGCGCACTTAAGACCCCTAAGACGCCCCCCACCAGGGAATGGTGTCCTATCCGCTGGTCGCGAGATCGGTCGCGTGGATGTCAGCCGACGCTGGTCGCGAGTGTCATCAGGCCGGTCCTCGGTGTTGCCGGTCACCGCTCGAAATTTCGATGGTTACTGTCAGTGGCTACTGTATCCGGTACTACCAACGCGCACCACACCGTGGGCTACCGCCGGGCGCACCGAGAGCCGCGTTCCACGATATCCGCGCACGGCACGCGGTCGCGACAGTTCCTGACTTGCAACTGACGAGGGATGCTGCACGAAGAGTTTGCGCCAGCCTCGCGCGCGCGCACAGAATCCTTACTCCCCTGCGCTCCTGGCACCCTCGGTCAGTTAGTCACCCCCTCTATCTACCTCTCTCTCCGTCTCTCT